CATAAAGCTAAAGTCCGCCTGCTCAAGCAAAAAATGCCCACTGTGTCGAGAGAGTTAAGAAATTCAGTGGGATACCGAACCACCTGTGCTGGATAGTTGGATAGTTGGGAACATACTGGTTTTCAGTACTTCAACTGACTCTAAGACATTGCAAAAGTTGTTCGGAATGCTGATGAGCCCACTGGTCGGGTCAACTGATACTTTTCCATCGCCAAGAGTCAGCAGTTGTTGAGCAGAATGACCAGCAGACACACGACCCTGCAAGTGAACTCGCATGTTGGTTGCAAGTCCCAGTTTGCGCACATATCTTCAGAGATATGAAGCTTTCAAGCAAGCTTTAAGTTCATCGGCCATTGTCTCCTTTGGAATGACGGGCAGTGTTTGACGAAAATCGGCAGTATTTCTAATGTAAGTAGGACATGTTAGAAATACTCCTTAAGAAAAGTGCGTCTTTAACAAAATTACTTTAGAAATTTACTCTTGAAGTCAGAATTGAAAATATCTTAGTAATCTGTAAATCTTGTGATGTGTATCTTGAATGTTACACACTTACTTGCTTGTGCGTGAGGACGTTTATGAGCAGAATTGAGAGAATATGAGAAACACTATAGTGAATATAGTTCTGACACAAAAAAACAACAGAAAAACCGGCCTATATATATATATAGAACATCGTGAAACATTTCGAAAGTGTCATTGGATAGTGTGATGTGAAAATTCCAATGACGATATATGACGCATCAGAAAGAATGTGATACATCATGCGCTTGATGTATATTGAAAAATAGTCGCTTTGATGAATGCTTTGAAAAATCGCTTTGAGAACTATTCTAATAAATCCTTTTAGTGAACTCTTTGAATCAGTTCTACGTTAGTTTAGTGTTAAAGAAAACTTCTTTGTAAGATGTTGTTATCGTTTTGAAACATTTTCGTTGAAAACTTGAACAAAAGAATATTACTGACCATGAAAATATACTAAAATCCGGTTGATTAGCAAATTGATCGATCAAATTTGTTCATACTTTCAAACCAAGAATCTCTTGAGTGCATTGGCGAAAAACTGGTTTGAAAGAAAGAAGATAGTAACTCTGCTTTAGGAGAATCGTCACTGGCTGTGGAAGAATTGTACTGCATACAAGCTGGCAAGTCTTCATTAGGGTACGATACTTTTTTGTCGTTGACCAAAATCGCTTACTATTAGAGAAATCTTTCATGATAGATTTAAGTTATCGTTTTTTATATGCATGAATAGAACTAATAACGCGATTACGATACTTTTATAAATCATAAATAATCTCGAAGGATGCTGTTTTAATTTTGATTTTAGAAAAGCTGAATTTCTTTTTTTTAGAAGAGAGCGAGTACGATGTGAGAAAAGTAAATATCTTTCTTTAACAATACAAACAAATTTCATAGGGACACATTGTCGAACAAAACTGACGTAAAATGATCGTACGATATGGCAAGTGCGTGATTAGTATCATTGCATAAATAAAATACTGGATCTATACAGTAAATTTTTGACGCAAACAAACAAATACGTATATTTTCATAGTCATAAAAAGAGGATTTTATTTGATTAATTTCAACTGTAACCGACTCTGACGATTTTGAGATATCTTTTAAAGTACTCAGTAGGTTTGTTTCATTGGTTGTTGAGATAGAGGGTCGTAACGCAACAGTCGTAGTTTGTTGGTTTGACTGAAGAGGATGTTGTTGAGAGTTTTGTGAGGAAAGATGTGGTGATGCAGCGGATAACGCCTCGGCATATGACTTTGCTTTTATATTGTTTATGTATTGTAAACGCACTTTGCATCCGGGATAGGTGACTTTATGAGCATCTCCACAATTTGGACAGTTCAAAGTTGTATTTGTACAATTATCTAGTCCGTGGTTACCACTACATTTTCCACATTTTATTTGATTATTACATTCGTTTGCGTAATGACATTTGAAACACCGGATTATTTTTACCGGTGGAATATATTCAATCACAGGGTAAGTGAACGGTGTAACAATTAACTTTCGCTTCTGTAAGAGATCGTTACGAGCAGTTTCATTTGAAAAATCGATTCGAAGAAGGGATGTTGGAGTATTTTGTGCTGCATTTTTAATTCGTGATACAGCGACAACATCGGATACAATATCTCGGATATCTGTTAAAAGATCGATTTCATTTATAGATGAATCAACATTTTTCAATACACAGCTAAACGTTTTTTGGATAACTTTCGCAGTACGTGATGTGTAAGTGAAACTATCACCAAATAAATTTAAAGGAAGGTTAATCGAAAGATATTGTTGTGCTGCATCATCTTGTGGGAATAAAAGTAAGTCTTTCTTTGAGTTAAAACGGCACGTAGTTGGACATTTATGAATATTTTTCAGATCAATTAATTTTGTTCGTATTTCATTAGGACTGGCAGTATTTCCAGTGAATGATAAAATAAACGGTGGAAACGGCTCGGGCGTAAACGCGACGCGTCGTTTCATCATTTTTGACGGTGGAAACGATGATGAGTAAGGCCTTTCGTTGTTGTTGTTAGAAATTGCGAGAGATGTTTGCCCTTGTTGCTGTTGACTTGTTGTTAATTGGGTCAGAAATCTGGATGCAAGATTTTTTTCGTGCTTGGAGATAACCTTTGTCTTGGTGCACGTGTTGGCAAAAGAACTTCTATACTTGCAGAAAAGTGCTTCCACACGTTTTTGTTCTCTTATTATAAGGAGTATATTCAGCTCGATTTGGAGATCATGATCTTTTGAACCTCGTGTCACCACTGGCTTAAAACTCAGGTGAAGGTTTATAATCTACCATTCAAGGTTTTACTTTTTAGTAAATTAAACTCCAAATTTATTTTACTTATAAAGAAGAAAAAACATGGGATATATTAGTCGATATGAACATAAACAGCTAAATGTTTTGGGGTATTTGTAAGACTTTGCCGTTGTCCACCACTATTCGTATCTGGTCCACCATCAGTAAATGTAACATTTTGCATTAAACGTGTTATGATTACTTTTAATTCTAAACGAGCTAAATCTTGTCCGGCACATTGGCGATGTCCACCACCAAATGTTAGTAAGGCGAATGGATGATGATTTTTATCTTCACCATTAAATCTTTCCGGGATAAATTCTTGCGGATTTAATTTCCAGTACCGTTTATCCATATGTAAATTATAAAGTGGTATTAACACACTGTCGCCTTTTTTCAATTGTACACCATCAATGACATCGTCTTGCGTTAATGATCTCCGTGCTGAGTTAACAATTGGTGCATATCTAAATAACTCTTTTAGAACACAATCAACATAAGTTAATCTATCTAATAATTGAATAGTTATATATGTGTCACATGTTATATTATTTTCGCGTAATTCTTTTTTGATTAGATCTTGTACTCTTGGATGTTTGCTCATAAAATAGATAAACCATGATAATGCTGTCGATGTGGTTGCAAAACCGGCTAAAATCAATACTAATAATTCGTCAAACAGTTCTGCACGAGATAAACCTAAAATGAGGAATAAATAGAAATGAATTCACTTCAAAAGAAAATACGATTTTGATTGAAGTATGCTGAAATCCATGAAGAACTATAGTTCAAATTGACTCAGATCTACCCTTAAAATGTCAACCTCAATAGCCATTTCGTTGCTGATTTACAAGCCTCTTAGCATCTATGATAAAGAAAACTGTATGAAGTACGGTTTGAAAAATTAAAAAATTCCCCGTAGATTTTAGCGGAACTATTTATTGCTAAACTTTTCATGCGGTCGTTGAGGACTGTAGATAGTAAGCCAATTATTTTACAACATCACTCTCTCGTTGTGCTTTTGCCACGCTTGAGTCGTTGCTGCAGAATGTCTACCCAGGACGATGATTACGACGATCATAAACGGTCGTAATACGTCAAATTACGACGTCGTATTTTGACGTTTACGATAGTATTTCGTTGTAATCTGGCGTGTTTCGTGGAGAAGTATTACGATGATCGTAATACTGTCATCGTATTTTGTCATATTTCGTCATAAACCACAGTTTACGACAGTCGTACTCCTTCTCCACGGTTCCTTTCGTCGTATTTTGACGTAAACTGTAGTTTACTGCTGTGTGGGTTCGACCTGGGTAATAAGAGGTGGTCAACTTAGATATATGGTCCAAGGATATAACTTCGCTCCACAGGAATAGAATAGAATCCAATAATGTGCACTATGTGACATCATAGTTTGAAGATAAAAGTTTCATCCATATATCGGCATGTTTGGGCGAAAATTCAATTTGAGAAGTTCTGAGGAAATGTCAGCATTCAAAGATCTCCCTTTCCAAAATCTGTAAAAGAGTTTGCTCTAAACCATGATAAACCACTTCTGGGGCAAAAAGAGAAACAGATTCTGAAAGTAAATACTCTCAGCTATTCGTTCATGTGCTTTTCTTCAATCGCCACTATTGATGAAAGTAAGAAAGGGACAGCACATAGGTTTTCTCGACTTTTCAACGTCAAGCAACGTCGATTGACGAGCCGTAACCTTTCGAATTAGAACTACTAATCGACGGGCTTATGAAGCTTGTAAGTTTGATAGGATTTGCTTGAAAATGCTAATTAGAATCTGCGCTAGTCAGAGGAAAAATATTGTTAAGTCCAACAACGAACCTTGTTTTTCTTCTTCTGGTTCTTTTCGTTCTCTAATTTCGTTATTTTGTAATGATGACACCAATAATGCTATAACATTTTTTGGTTTATCATGTTGTTGCCGTTGTAACTCTTGTTCGATAATTAGATCAGTATACTGTTTCAATATTTTTAATGCATGTTGATATTTTTTATTAAATTTTAAATATAATTTCATTATTATTATTGGTATACCAACTGATTTTACAAGTGTATCATATGCATCCGTGAAAATATTTATTGCATTAATTAATTCTTTACTATCATAGTGTTGATTGTTACCCTCTATGGCTTCTAAATCATAATGAAATGCAACAAGACTAATAATGTCTAATAACAAATTTTTTGATTGCTGAATAATATTCGTATTTAATTTATTTTCTTGTTGTTCATTTTGATTTTTCCACAAATGAATTAGTTTATCTGTACAATCAATAATTATATCCAAATGTTGTACAACATTTGCTTTTTTAAACATCGGTAAAATAATACGAGCATGTCTTCTATAGGTTGCACCCTTTATAGATACGAGTCCCAAAGGAAATTGTGTTCCGAATGTTAAATTAGGTAAATCATAAATGTGTTTATTATTAAATACATGTTGTGCATGTTCTGCTTTATTAAATACATAATAACGATATGGGCCTAACCAATATTGATAAATATCACCATATTTTTTCTTTAAATTTGCCTGAATATTAATATATGATTCACCAGTGAGGCATCCTGTTTGTAATAAATTACCAAGTAAAAAATGAGGACTCAATCCAGGTACAGAACGCGATAAAGTAAAATATTTTCGTTTAAAATAAAAACAAATTGTAAATATTAATAGTAACAGTAAAATAATAGTTGTTAAAAGCATGACGGAGTAATCCAAAACACAGTGCTTTGTATGATTTACTGTTTCACTCTATTTTGCAACTAAAACAAATTGATCCTTTCTTTTGTGATGTTTTTCTCATCATTCTGTATCACTGATACGAGAAATTTCTTTCTGTTTTGTAATAAGTTACTTTGTACATATACACATTTTCGTTTCTATCTATACATTACTATGCTACAGGTAATACTATAAAAAATTGTAGCTACGCTAGCAATTTTTCAATCAAAAGAAACAAATGCGACGGATTAGCTTAAGTTATAACTTTAGAGAAGTTATTGTTTTCCAGTCATTCATCGTATTTTCGTTAAAATAAAGAAGTCCCACCAGAGGATAATAATGAGAATAGTGCAAATCTCAAGGCGATTTCATATGAAACTTTATAAGAGGCTACAATATGACTGTATTAGAGAATTTGAAATAGAAAATCAGTGTGGCAAAGTGGCAATGGGTTAGCTGATCTGAACGACTTAAAGCGTTTGTATTTGCCGCACGCGCAATCGCATACCGGTGTTAATCTGCAATTTCCTCGGTTCCTTATTGAAGTGATTAATACTAAGGCACGTTTTTACTCCCACACCCTAGAACTGAGAGCAGAATGAAGACCTCGGCAAAGACAGATACGTGGTCTAGTACTTAATGCAAAGAGAAAATATCTGAAGAGCAGTTGCGCCTTGATTTTGTTAGCACAAATTGGATCTTGATGAATTATGAAAAATATCTGTTAGAAGTATTCTTCCATCTTCTATAGTTTGGCTTTTTTAGATCTCACAACAGCGAAACATCGCTCTCTTTCGGAGCAGCGTTATGGCCAGAACGGCATGACTCATGAGCAATGAGGCTACACTTTTACCACAAGTAGTGGCATTTGTGAAAACTAAAAAGAAATAGATCCATTATTACGTCTCCATGTCTTGTGTTAGCAATTAGTCCTTCCAATCGAACGGATGCGTCTACAAAGAGTCACAGCTGGAAAATGCGATGCTAAGATATATGCAGCGAAAGCAGAATGTCATCTTTTTGGGGATTATATCTTTTCCATATAAAGGGCGGAAGAAATTTTGAAAATACAGCATTGCGGAAAACTTTTTTATAGTTCAAAAACTTGACACCCTTTATAACTCCAATAGAGACATATTTTTGAGAGTCGGCATGACTCTCATTTTGAAGAGAGCCCTTTGATCTACATAGAGCCATGTCAAACACAGTTTTGAAATTTTTTTATTTTGATGCTCGAAAAGGAGAGGTATCTTCAACGTAATGTGATCCAAAAAACATTTATCGCTTTATTTCTGAATTAAACGATAAAAAAACACTGGAACTACATGCATTTTCTTGAACAAAGGGTAACCATTTGGCTTCAGTTCCGACGTAACGTAAATAAATAATGAACGGATATGAGCAAACGAAATAAAATAAAGAAAAATAGCAAAATACAAAAATCGAGCATGACGACAAACAACTTTCATCTTATGCGGAAACAATGTTTCACTTTATTTTGTTTCTGTGATATTTTTATATCAAAGTATTGTCGTCAAAATGCTAAAATTCTACCTCTAGCTCTTTTCATTCTCTAGTTATTCAAGAAACAGCCCAGACCACGGTTTTTTCCCACAATAGGCACTTATTCGTTCAAGTGTTTTTCAACATAGCATTATGGATACTTTCTGCTATGGGTTTTTCGAAGCTCCCTAACCGGTTTTAGAGCAATCATTTTGGTTCTCTGTTGTTTCACTCTCAGAAAAGAATGAATCGTCGGAAAAGGATAAAGAAAACAGCCGAGCTTATGAATGTGAGATACCATGAGCTTTTAAGCTACAGAAGAGAATATTAAAAGAACGGCATTTCCTACACGAAAATTATCTGACAGTTGCGGTAGAAGGGAGTGGCCTCGAAGGTACGCTAGTGCCAACGTCAACTAATGTTGTTTTTAACGCTACACGTCCCATATTTATGTCTGGCGTAGCTGAACAAGCGAAATAGTTGGAATAACATACGTTTCACTCCATATATAGACATACCGAACCCGCCGTCGGAAAAATTCTCATTGTTATTCTAGGAAACGAGGTGGGGGAGCGATCTTTAAGTGTAACAGAAAAAGAACCAAAGGGATCTCTTTCTAGCTTGTAACAAATTGATCTCAACAAAACCTTTTTAGGAGTATGTTTGTTTTTTGTTATTGTTTTTTCTTCTATACTCTCTTTTCGCGGTTGTTCTCTTTTCCGCGTGATGGCACTGTAATTAGGTAAAACCACAAAAAATTCACATCTCACTCCTCTGACATTGCTGTGTATTTATCTATATTATTTATATTGCTGTGACCTTACCTTGACTTCTCCACCTTACCTTACCTTAGCTTAGCTTAGCTTAACTTTATCTTATCTCATCTTAATGTCGGTACGTTGACCTTAGTACCAGTAGCTGATAATTTTGAGAGAAGCTATTTTCCAGTTCTTCAGACAAAAAAAGAGAATTTTCTCGAGTATGAAAACCATACAATGGCTACCCTAGCACTTTGAAGAACTGACGGACATTCCAGAGTATTTGACGAAAGTCTGAAGTTGAAATAATGTTTCTAGGCTGATTTTTCTTATCAAGAAGTCCGAATTTCAAAGCAACCGACCATCTTCAAATAGCTGTATTTAGGTAACCATTAACAGACAACACGTTTAATTCACACCGTAAACGAAATAGAGTGAGGCATGCTACATTTTGACGCATAGCAAAGTATTCATCGCCTATAAAAGGCAAGTTATTTATTACCTGACAAAAATAGAAATCGTTATATCTCAAAAAGCATTCAGTTAAACAGGTTGAAACTTGTTGAGTGATCAGCGTAGTTTGTGCACTGTATTTACTTTGACTCTTACATACTTTTACCCAATGTTTTAGCATCATATTTGTTAGGTTTCTTAATGCAGGATTAATCTAAGAAAAATGAATTCAGTCAAGCGCGTAATAGAGAAAAACATACGAAAGCGAAAGCATTCGAATAATGATATCTGTACTTTTTGTCACATGTAATGAAGGACACGTGAAATAAATATTTCTGGGTTACATATAAAAATATCCTGTGTAGGTATGTCCTTCTTAACCATTGCTCCTGCACAAACCGGACTGTTCTCTGCGGCAGCACGATCGGTTGTATAAGGGAAGTGTACATGCCCCCCGATTTCAGAAATTTTGGTAGAAATTTGCTCGGATTTTTGACCCTAGAAATTTTTTCCAATTTTTTTACTCCAGACTTCTACAGATTTTGCGCAGATATTTGCCGTTTTCTTCAGTTCAGGCTGTCTTTGCTCCAAAAATGCCACAAAATCGGAGAAAGCTCGAACAAGGTAGCACATTTCCTTCCCAAATATGAGCAAGCTCAAATCCAGACTTGAAGCATTAGTTGACCGACTTTACGTACTCATCGTATATGATTATGAGATTTGTCCACTTGATTTATTGAGAAAATGGAAAAATTAGTGTAATGGTTTTGTTTCCCGCTCGACTGGACGAAATAGATAGTGCAGGCTAATGAATAACTATGGTGGATAAAACAGAATACAAATTTAAATTACACGTCTATTAGATAGTAATACCGTTCCATTTGACATTTCACAAATCCATCCTCCGTACGAAAATTTCGATTCTTTTTGACAGAATATGTCTAATAATGCATCAGCCAAATGTCCTCTGGGTCTTAAACCAGTTTAGTCAAAGTTTTAAACGCCATTGCAACAGTTATTGATACTGATCTAAAATTTCAAGAATAATTGATCGTAGAATTTAGGATTTTGTTTTGTATCTTTCGTTTCTCTTTGTTTTTTTTTCGTTTTTGAACACACTATATTAAGGAACAACAAAAATACAGTTTCCTTGATGTGTCTACAAAGTGTGATGGTAACTAATTATACAACAGTAAGTCCGAAAGAAAAAAATGGCGACTTTCGTATCATTTCTTTTACGTTATGAAACTTGCCAGAAAACGTTTTTGGACTTGCTGCGATTTTTGAAGCTACAGCCCCACTCTCACCTCATGCTCCATCTTCTTTGCACCGTCATTGACTTGTGTTGACAATTCTCAGATCACATATTTCAAATAAAAAGCTCAAGTCAAGAACCCAGTCCTTGACGTTTATTTTGTTGTGGAAGCTGACTAAACAGGTTTTCTGCCTGGGATTACGCTTTCTCGTTGTGTACATGCTGTACTAGAGTTGTTTTGCCTTTCATACATACAGGAAAAGATTTTTAGCGTTTTTCATCCACCAGTTGCACAATCTGCCTGGCAACTTTCACGACTGTAGTCCTACAACGATTTGTTCAAATACGTCAGTTCTATTCTGTTAGTGCAAAATAAGAGCTGGCTTGAGCTCTTTATTTGAAATATGTGAGCTGCGAATTGTCAATACAATCGGCTATCGAAAAACATATGTCAAGTTAAGCACGATTTACCCTGATTTGGTTTTGCCTTGTGCAGCTGTTTCTTTCTTTCGAGGATAGACGTGCTGCAGATCATGAACCTATCAGTCTATCAAATACGTCTGTCAATTCATCTAACAGAAGTTCTTCCAGACAAAGGTGTGAGTGGACGTTACTTGTTTCATCTGACTGACTAGGAAAAGTTTTTAGACGTATGAGTTTTTGCTGAGGCATACAAATTTTACTAATAATCTAATGAGAAGTTAGAAAAGTTCCCGTATATTATAGTGCAACAACAAATAATTTAAGTGCAATACAGCGATGCAGTTGATAAATTTTTTGTAATTTCTGCTATAGTTTATTGATCAATACAAGCATATAAATTATAGGCTGTATTGATGTTGAAAAGCTGAGATCAACAACATATCAACCTACCGCAAAATATTATCCAATTAAAATTTTTAGAGAAGGTAGACAAGACATAAACGATGGTATTGTCAAATATAAATTATTAAATTCAAAAATTTATCCGAACAAGATATTACTAAAACTATTCATGATGACATACATAAATTAGAAAAAAATAAAGCAATAAACTTTCTTTTATATAGAAAATTAAATACGACTGAAAATATTTTATGCGAAAATAGTGAATTTAATCGAAAATATATCCAACACTTCCTCAATTATAAACATCTGATGTCTTTTCCATTATCAAATAATAATAATAATGATGGTACAATAATTCATGGTACTATTACTCAACATGATAATGATAATAATACATCAACTGAAAATATATATTTATTATTCGAAAAAATTGCAAATAAATATGCACAAAAAATTGGTTTACAAAACTCTGAATATTCTATAAGTTATCAAGAATGTTTATCATTTACTCTTCAACTTTCAAATTGTCTTAGTGAAAAAGTTCATGTTACATCGAATACAATAATTGGAATGTGGATGATAAACTCGATTGAATATGTTATTAGTATTTTGACTGCAATAAAATTTGGTGCAACTTTTGTACCGTTAGATGCCAATCATCCTATTGATCGTCTACAATATATTGTTAAAAATGCCAACATTAATCTTATTCTAACTACAAACAGTTTAATCGCTGCTGCTGTTTTCAATTTGCCAGTCGTCAATGTACAATTACTTCGCAAAGATAAATGTTCAGTTTTACAAATAGAATCATCTTTATTATCTAATAGTTCGTTAGAAAATTGTCAAATAGCTTATGATAGTTGTTATATCATCTATACATCAGGTACAACTGGACGACCAAAAGGTGTTGTATTAAATGAAAATGGATTAAAAAATCTTGCTTTTTCTCAAATAGAATTATTTGCCATTAAAGAAACAGATATTGTTGCACAAAATGCATCGATTTGTTTTGATGCTTCTATATCGGAAATTTTCATGACATTGGTTAATGGTGCACAATTATTTATTTTTCAACAACATGAAAAAATTGGAAATATTTTTATAGATATTATGAATCGTTATCATATTACTGTATTAACAATGACTCCAAGTTTATTATCAATCTATGATCCATCACATTTACCATTTCTTAAAACTATTATTTCTGCTGGTGAATCATGCCCTTCAGCATTAGCTAAAAAATGGTTCAATGGTGGTAACAAAACATTAAGATTTTTTAATGCATATGGACCATCTGAAGCAACAGTATGTACAACAATTTTTGAAGTTAACTATAATGAAATAAATTATGATATAATTCCAATTGGATTTCCAATTCATAATGTATATTTAAAAGTAGTAGATGAAAAAATGAATAATGTATCAATAGGTATGCCTGGTGAATTATTAATTGGTGGTATGGGTGTATCACAAGCTGGTTATATTTATCCAGCAGACAATAAAAGATTCGTTAAGATTAATGAAACCATTTGGTATAAAAGTGGAGATATTGTTGTTGCAACATCGTTGATATCATCAACGACAACAACATGTTGTTTATCTTATTTAGGTCGTATAGATAATCAAGTAAAAATTAATGGATGTAGAATTGAATTAAATGAAATTGAAACAGTTATTTTATCTTGTGCAGGTGTATTACACTGTACAGCAATTATTCATCAATGTGAAATATGTAAAAAAAAATATCAGAAGCCATCAATTGCTGCTTATGTATATACTACAGATGATTCTAATATAAACAAAGAATTTATTCGACATCATGTTCAAAAGTATGTACCATCATTTATGGTACCATCATATATTATTCTTGAAAAACATTGGCATCTACCAATGACTGCAAATGGAAAAATTGACAGAAAGCAACTTTTTAATGATATTACAATTCATTCTAATCAGACAAAGAATTATGTTACTGAATATAGTAAGATTGAGAAACCATTATCTCAAATATGGTTTGATTTATTTGATTGTAAAATAGTATTAGATTCGACTACAACAACATTTAGTGAATATGGAGGAAATTCATTAATGTTAACAACATTATCATCACTTATATTGAAGAAATTGAATATAAAAATTGGACTTGGTGTAATTCATATACATATGACATTAAAACAAATGGTTGAAGCAATACAAAATAATACAAATAAAGATTATTCGCATACACAATTAAATTTAATTTTGCAAGATATGTATACAACAAATAGTAATTTAAATAAATTTAATTTAATATCAATATCGAAAATAAATAAAAAATATTCAACATTATTATTAACTGGTGTAACTGGATATTTAGGCTGTTTTCTACTCTATGAATTATTATTAAAAACTGATTTAATAATTTATTGTTTAATTCGATCTTCATCTCAACAAAAATGTCGTCAAAGAATAATTAAAAATTTAAAAAAATATAATTTATTACTTGATGAAAATAATTTATTACATTATGAATTTGATCAACGTATTAGACTTATTTGTGGTGATTTATCAAAGTGTGATTTTGAATTAGATAATAATTTAATTCAACAAATAGATTCTATTTTACATTGTGCTGCAATAACAAATTTTAATCTTTGTTATGAACAATTAAGACAAGTCAATGTACAATCAACAAAATATTTATTAAATATATGTATTAATCATTCTATTCCTATGTATTATATATCATCTTTAAGTATATTTTTATTTCATCACTATTATAAACGAAATAGTACAGAACAAATAGAAATTAGTGAAAAAGATAATCCGGATTTAGATTCTATTTTTGGTGGTTATGGTCAATCAAAATTTGTTGCTGATTATTTAATATTAAAAGCATTTACACAAGGTTTATCAGGAATAATATTTCGTCTAGGTGAAATAACAGGGTCAACTAAATGTGGTATTGGTTCAATAGATGATCTATTTTTTTTAATGTTAAAAGGATGTATTCAGTGTAAAGCATTTCCAAATTTAACATTTCCTGTTATTTTAACTCCTGTAGATGTTACTTGTCAACTTATTGTACAAAATATTAAAAATCATTTTCATAGAAATAATCTAGAAACATATGCTATTGTTCATTTAAGTAATCAAACTACAATACCATTTAATAAACAATTTGAATTATTATATGAATTAGGATGTTGTCAGAAAAAATTAGTATCATTAACGTATGATCAATGGTTAGAAAGATTAATTTATTATCATCAACAACAACAACAATCTCCAAATGTATTACTACCATTTTTGCCATTTTTACAGTCAGCCTTTTGGAATCATGTGGATAAATGGCCAAAATTTGTCAATGAAATTAAAGAAAATACAATCGATTTGTGCCCATGTGAATTATTTACAATATACGCAAATCAATGGAAAAAAATGAATATGTTTGAACGGTAGTATTTTGAACTTTTAAAAAGAGAAAAATAGCTTCTCTACAGAAACAAAATTGTGTTACATTTTACTATTTATTCTTGTATGATAAACATACGACAGTCATGTGTAATAACAAAAAGATTTTTAGTACCATGATGATGTTTACTGGAAAAATTTCCCTGTGAAAAAAGTCGCGCTACAGTGAGTGACTTATAGTTCGTCAAAAGAAACTCGCGAGTTTCTTTTGAACTACCGAGTACTCGGTAGCTTAACTAGATGCCCGGTCTACATCTAACAGAGCACCCGAAAAAGATTGTGTTTTGCATCATTTTTTCTGACCATATTTTTTGGATAAATGCCAATTTTTGCGCTCAAAAATTTTCACTTAGTAATTTAATTAAAAAGAACTTAATGTGCGTCAAGAAAAGAAAAAAACGTGTGTTAGAACTTTGCAATTCGTTGAACTTTCAACGTTCATTTTCTCTTAAAAATCTTGCCAATTCTGATGTTGCTTTCTTAATGTTTTGACACTGGTAGTGAAACACCACGGTGGTAGTGGACAAAGGACAAGTCCGCATAAAGTTAATAATCGGCGCACTTCCTTTTTCTAATAATAATGGTTTCGTACAGACGGAAAACTACCAGTATTCAATTCCAGATAAAATCGAATACATTTGTTCACTAAAAATCTCGCCCATTTCTCTACCATCCAAACCCTCAAAACGAGGCATACATGATGAGTAAATGCTGCTTTTCTCAGCTTTCTTAGGCATAAAACATACTAACTAAATACACGAATAGGTAGCCCATAAAATTTTCTACGACCTGAGACAGTTAGAATATCTTGACTAATGGGTCTAGTTATCAACGATATGCAAAAGGAACGGTGGAGTACGAAAAAGACATTCCAGTCAGTCACCTCTATGTTTTGAAAATTCGTTTTAACGCGGTTTTGGCATTCATAAAGCGCGAGAATATACAGTTTCACCATGAATACGGCGAATTTCTTGATTAAATATACGCCTTAAGGGCCCCCCGATGGTGCTAATTAGGCCCTACTAACAGCTTCACAAACAACACCCAGTTCTATTCTACCAGCAGCAACAATTATTATTAGTTTAATGATAAACTATTCGTACAAAAAAAGTGTTTGTACAGTGTGGAATTACAATCTTCAATTAATCAATAA